TGCCTTATCATAACTCCTCTTCTGACGCTGCTGTGCCTCCGCCAGATGACCATTGGCAAGCTCCTGAAATTGGTTCAGTTTGTCTCTCATTTTCAGGACATACGAGAGCTCACTGCACTGCTGTTGTGGCATTGGACCCTCCCAAGCATCCTTCAAGACATCCATAGGACCCCTCACTGGATGTCCATATAGCAGCTGGAAAGGTGAAAACCCTGTAGAGGCTTGTGGAACCTCTCTGTATGCAAACAGCACGAATGGCAGCCATCGGTCCCAATCTGACCCGGAGTCATTCACAAACTTCTTCAGCATAGATTTGAGGGTCTTGTTGAAGCGCTCCACTAGGCCATCAGTTTGTGGATGATAGGGACTGGTCTTTACCCCCTGAATTCCCAGCATGCTGTACACTTCTTTTAGCAGGCTTGAGGTGAAGTTGGTGCCTTGGTCTGTGATTATCTCCTTGGGGATTCCCACTCTGGAAAACAGCTGAATGAGGCAGTTGACAATCTGGCGAGCCTTGATCTTCTTCAAGGGGAAAGCTTCAGGGTATCTTGTGGCATAATCGGAAACCACCAGTATGTACCTGTGGCCTACACTACTCCTTTCGAGTGGGCCTACCACGTCCATGGCAATGCGGGAAAAGGGTGCATCTATGATGGGCATGCTGATGAGGGGAGCTCTATCTCCATTCCTGCCTGGAGCTGTTAATTGACACTGTGGACAAGACCGGCACCATTTTATGGTGTCTGCGTACTGCTGGGGCCAATAGAACCGAGTAACCATTCTTGAAAATGTTTTAGCCTGTCCCAAGTGTCCTGCCCATGGGATAGAGTGGCTCAGGTTAAGGATAGTGGGTCTTAAACTCTGTGGAATAACTAACTGATCACCAATCTGGCTACGGCGATACAACTTGCCTCCCTTGACCACAAATGCTTCCTTCCCTCCACCCATCACCTGGGTTGACTCAGGCACACATTTAGCAAACAACGTGACGAGTGTGGAGTCTTCCCTCTGTAGCTTAGCAATGTCACTAGGAATCGGAAAAAAGTTTAATTCTACCGGCTTTGCCACCCGTTCAGCAACTTGTGTTCCCCTTACCCGGTCTCGTCTCCTCTCTCTCTTGCTTTTCCTTTCCTTACAGTGGCTAGTGTGCTCGCCCCCGGGGAGTTCCGCGTTTGCAAATGGCAGCTCTTCCCACTCTGCTGAACTAATTTGTTCTTGCTTGGTTTTCGACCTAGTAACAGCTAGCAAATTTTCGCTGGTGCAGCTTGCTCTAGCCTCACACGATTGCTTGGCTATCAGTTCCGCCAGAATAGGTAAATCAGAGCCTAACACAACCTGATAGGGCAGGTGCTTTAAAACTCCTACTGGAAGCAAGTAGTGTTGCCCTTCAATTTGGATAGCTACCTCAGCTATGGGGTAACGTACATTGTCACCATGAATACAGAAAACATCAACTGTCCCTCTACAAAAAATGACATCCCTCGGAAGGCTGTCCTGTCTGACGAGGGTGCGATTACTTCCGGAATCTAAGAGGGCTACACAGGGCCTGTCTTCAATTAACACCGCTATTGTAAGTTCCTCCGCTTGCAATTCCGAGACACTATTTCTCTCTAACTCATTGCTATGCAACTGGGGCGCGAAACACATGTAATTGTTACTAACCCGCAACCTAGGACATTCTGCCTTAAAATGTCCCTTCTGGCCGCAAGCATGACATGCGAAGAGGGCTTTGTTTCTTGACTCACGTGCAACAGAGTTTGAGGGGAGGAAGCTATGTCCTGTGTTAGCTCTCAATTCATTACTAACTGCCCTACTCGATGGGGTGGGTGGAAGGTACTCTTTTGCTGATCGGCGGGCAGCTAAAAAAAACTTCTGCCAGTTCTGCTGCTTCTTTGGAGGACTTCGGGTTTCGTTCTTTAATCCAGGTACAAAGTTCTGGATTCAGGATTTTGAGAAACTGCTCCATGATGATAGTGTCTCCAATTTGTTCCTTTGTCTTTGCTTCCGGCGACATCCACTTACTGAACAAATCCTTGAGGCGGACCTGCAGCTCTTTAGGAGTTTCCCCTTCTCCTGGCACAGTGGCACGGAACCTCACTCGATAGGTCTCGGCACTGATTTCGAATTTCTGCAACACAGCACCCTTCACTTTTGCATAGTCCATGGTGTCATCAATGTCCATAGCTACATATGCATACCGTGCTTTACCGGTTAGCAATGAAGCTAGGTGAAGAGCCCACTCATCCTGAGGCCACTGACAGGCATGAGCAATTCTTTCAAACGTGATTAAATAATGTTCTATGTCCTCACCTTCTTGGTAGGGCTGCATTTTGGGACTTTTCCAGCCCGAAACCCTCACCGAACTGGCGTGCATTCCTCCAGCAGCCAAATGTTGCTCATCCCCCGGCCTATCCTGGATCTGAGGTGGATCCGCGGTTAATCCTATGAAGTGGGAAGGTGTGGCTGCGGCCCCTTCTTGTAGGTACTGACGAGCCTGACGGTCCTGGGTTACTTCTTGCTGGAGCTGTACAAATTGATGCTGAATTCGCTTCCATCTCTCCTCCTGTCGCTTATGCTCATGTTCGGTCCTGCTATCGCGGTCAGCCTGCTGTTGCATCAGGGATTTCATAAGTCTTGACAGCTCAGTTATACTTTCTCGCTCATGGGGTTGCCCACCTGCTGTCCCTTGTTGGTTTCCGTCATCTTGGTCCTCCTTCTGGCCTGGATCCGCTGCTTTTGTCTTTTGTCTGGTTGACATTTTCTTCACTGCCTCCTCCTGGCCTGGATCCCACTTCTGACACCACTTGTGAGGATGTCACAACCGAGGGAATCCTGGAATTAGGAGGCAGGCAAGCGAGACTTGGTCCAGGTAAAAAATATGTTTATTTGTAAAAAGTCAGGAAGTTTCCGTATACAGGTCTGATTAAAACAGATAAACAACCAAACGGAAGAAACTTAACATCACCTCATCTGACATCAGCCCTCAGCTACACATGTTCCCCCTTCCTCCCCCCAACCGTCAATGTCCTCCACCTTTATAGCGCCGTCAATCAATGTGCACAGGTGACACTCATTATGACAATCCACCCGATGATGTCACTGCTGACATCAGCCCCTGCACAAACACTAGGCCTCACTGCCTGCCCCCTCTAGCCTCCAGCACACCTGCAGAGCATGGCAAGCACTCAACCACACACCATCATGGGGACAAAGGTGAGTTGTCACCCACTTTGTCACACTGCCTCCGTCATTGTTTCAAATCTACACTCAAAGAGACTCACCCTCCTCTGACTGATTTGTTTCAGAATCACAGCCAAGCAATGAAACCAACGATGGCAGCGAGTATTACCTAATCAGGGGCTGAATAGGAGTCTTCACAGAATTCAGGTGGGATTATTTGTATGGGATGCTGCATTGAAGACAACTCAGAAAATATGGAACAAACCCCGTCCCATATTGATTCAAAACGGGACGTGCCGTTTTATTCTTAAATATGGGACGATTCCATATTTTTGGGGCGGGTGGCAACCCTACATGTGGGTGCTGTCATTTTGAATGATTCTGCAAAATACTGTTGGAAGTTAAGGGAGCCTGGTTTGACTGCAGAGGAGTCGGGCTGCAGTCAGAGGTCAGCAGAATGATGGTCGCCTCATGGGAATAATCCCAGTCTCTCACACAAGTTGTATCCAGGCTAAGAAGGTATGAAGTCGCTGAGTCACATCTAAACGTCTTCAGACTATGTGCTGGTGGTGGCAAGGATGCGTATTATTACCCAAAGACACACATCTATACATACATGGTTGGCAGTTATCGAATGCTATGTATGAAGCGCTGCCTTCACAATTAAGTGATAGTAACATCCCGTTACGATAAAGTCCTCAGAGAGGACAACAGAATAAATGTCAGGTAAGTAAGTAAGTAAGTGAGACGTTTACGAGCATTCATGACTAACTTTATAAGTTGCAGTAAGTGTGGTACTGAGCTCTCATCCCTGCAGCACATCACCGGGTTGTGGTTGTGTCTCCGTGGCCTAAATATCTCCTGAGGATAGGACTCAATGTATGTTTAGCCTAGTTTAAAAGCGTGTTCACCGGACTTCCAACGCAAAATTTAAAAAAAGCCACTTTGTTGTAATGGTGCACACTGACAACCATCGCCTTCCATAAACTACGATGGTTCTAAATTGGTTGATTCAATGTATACAATCTGTCCACACGCGACATCCTCTCACAGGAAAAAAAAAAAAACTTCCACGGGGGATAAAACGTTGCTCGGTGTGTCAAATAACACCGAACTTTGCTGTATAAATACATGCAGAGGGTCTCAAATAATGACTAGGAATTATTATTACACATAAGTGCTTTCAGGCAAGCGAGCAGAAAAGATGCTATGGAGTCTGTCTGTCACGTCATAGCGGATGAAAACATCTTCCATCCACCTTTCTAGCTTCGACTCGAGCCCGTTGATGCACGCGCCTCACAGCACTGCCCTGGGGGGGCGGCGGGGGGGTCCCTGCGCTACCTGAGGACGTGGTGCAGACTCTTTGCTGCATTGAGTCGCACGACTCCGGTGGGACGGGTCACGTGACCCAACCGTGCGCCGTTATGCAGAAAACGAAGCGAGACGCTTCTGTTCCCTAGAGCAACCCGAAAACGCACGGTGAGCGCACCCTCGCAGTCGGGAAACGACACGCTTGTGATACCGCCGCGTCTGCTGGTGGAGCGGCGCTCGGCGCAGGCCAGCGGGCGAGGCCCGGCCCACTGCGGCTGCCCTTGGAGCGCGAGCTCCACCACACCTCCAGTCTCCTCGTCTCCGCGTCACGAACATTTTCACGTCAACACAGTTAGTCCCAACAGCCACCGCTACACTGCGGAATGCATCTAAAGTGTACGTGAAGGCGTCCCGCGGGACGACCACACCAAAGCATACGTGCACGCGCAATGATTTGCTCACTGAGTATAAGACAAACATCAAAAACACAGTTAAAAGGGCTCAGTTACCTGTTAGTGTCTCCTCTTTCGCAGCTTCCCTCTCAGTCATCATGTCCCGCAGTTCCACCTCCTCCCGCGCCTTCTCCCCGATACAGTTACACCAGGCAATCGTCCCGCGCGACTGGGGACCCCGGGCCGCAGAGGAAGCAACTTCTCAAACAGCCTGCGGAGGAGAATCCTACGTCCGCTTGGATTGCACGTCGCCTCGCCGCTTTCTGTTCGATGGACCGGACGTTTAAACCGCATGGGCGAGCTTTGGGCTCTGGATATTCTTCGGGGTGGATGTGGGGGGAGGGGGGTCGTCAGGGAGAGGGGGGGCAGTGAGGCTACGCACGTAGAGAGGATGTTAGACCCCAGACTGCTGTCTGCTCTGTCCGCCCCTCCCACCATATGCACTGCTGTCCTGGCCAGGAAATCCGGCTGCTGCAGCTCCAGCCTGCCGGAGGGGATGCTGTGCCCTCCAGCAGCTCCACGTGACTGAGTCCTAATTCCTCTAGGAACTTTGTTAATAAATACATATAGATCAAATGATGTAATCCTACATTTCTTTCTGTCATAATTAACATATGCTTGGTGGTTAAAGCCTATGTTACACCAGGGGTCCCCAACCACCGGATCGCGGACCGGTATCGGTCCGTGGGCCAATGGGTACTGGGCTCTTCCTCGCTCGCGAGGTGAATCTCTGCTCGCGCTCTAAGGTGTTTTCTACGCGCTCGAAGGTGTTTTCTACGCGCTCTCTGTTTGTCTTTTTGACAGTAAGGTAATGTCATGATGGTAAATGATGGTTGTAACTGGTTGTCATCTACGGTCCACTACGATTACCGAAGGGGGGGCGTTTGTTTTTTGACAACGTTTTATCTCATAATTTCGACTTTCAATCCCCTTCCTTTAGTGCAGAAATGGGCTTCTATAGTTGTGTGAATGCATCACTCCAGCCAATCCAAAGACGGGGGTGTCAGATGTAGCTACCATGGTGACTGGCTCCGCCCCCTTACTGTCAAAAAGAACAACAGCGAGCGCGTAGAAAACACCTTCGAGCGCGAGCAGAGATTCACCTCGCCAGCGAGGAAGTTCACGTTTTGCGAGCGAGCAAATATCTCGCGCATCAACCTGATTTGCGCGCTCGAATTTTGACAATGGATTTGCCGCCATAAACATCAACCCCAGATACTATAATTGCGAAATAGTTCAACATCCCACCTCAAGGTATGAGAAAAGACCATCCTCTCTTTGTGTCCTGCTTTACCTACCAGAACACATGTAACAATAACAATAAGCAGGTGTGAATGGCAGCTGGATATGATCTTCTATGGTTGTGACAGCTATTTGAACCCTGATCCAAGTCCTTTCACACTGAAGATCCAGCTGCACCGTAAACAATGTAATAACAATTAAGTTATTAAAATCAGTCCAATGTGTATATGTTTAAGAATTAGCTGTCTATTTGGATAAACAATTGATTGCATGTAAGCTGTTCCTTAATGTTCCCGTGTTTGGTGCAGCCGTCATCACATTGACGTTACATGCTTCTGCTTCTTCTGGCTGCTAGTGTTATAAGAATGATAAAACTTGACAGAAGGATGTCACAGTGAATTGGCCATGTTTTATCAGATGATTGATCCACTGACTTGAGGATACAGCTTTTATACTCCTGTTTAAGGACGGGAAATCAGCAGACCCTCCTCACATTACAAGAGTTCATCAGACGTGAGGAAGTTATAGCGTTGCTACTTTGTTTAATGAGTTTATATATATATATATATATATATATATATATATATATATGTATATATATATATATATATATATATATTAATGAAATTCTAGAAGCAGTGTCACGGGGGAGCTCTTGAGGACTCAGATGCAGAGTAGAGGTTCAGCTGAAGCTTTTATTTCCTAACAAAAAACACAGGGAAATCCCTGGAAACAAAAAACTCCTCCGAAGCGGGATGAACAGGGAATGCTCTGGCTAAACTAATAGAGCTGTGCAATACAAAATTACAGCTAGTTGAAGAGCTTAAGAGTAAAAAATCGCAAAACCAAAATCTCTCTTACCGAGGAAAAAACTCAAAGTGCTGTGGAGCAATAAACGGCATAAGGCCAACTAAGGAGTCTCGGGACAAACAAAACTACGACTTGGGCTTGATTCTATCATGAGGCGGATGTGCAAGGCGAAAGGACATGGACACACTGGCACAGGACAAGGGGAGACGCAGACTATAAGTACACATGAGGGACGGGTGGGCACAATCAGGAATCAGAGAAGACAATCAGACTGGCGACACATAAGGAAAGGCAAGGAACCTGAAACAGGAGGAGAATAATTTCCAAAATAAAACAGGAAGTCACAAAACAAATGTGGAGACAGGGCAAAAACCCAACTTGACATACAAGTGTGACAAGCAGAGTAGATCATTCCCTAAAAACAAAAAGGTCTTTTGGGAATAAACTTTTCCATAATCACCCTGTGGTAAAGTGCACAAAGTTTTCTTTATAGTGTCAAATGAAGCCAGTCTAGGTTAGACTCGTGAGAGAGACCGTTGAACATTGTTCAAATGACAAATTGAATGGGGTTAGAAAACCTTGAATCTTCCAACACAAATCAACATGTCCAGCTTTGATGAATTTATTTAATGCTGGGAATGTGTGGATCAGTGGTTCCCGCAGACTAGAGGAACGCAGCCATGTTCTCATGCCTCACGGATTCGGTTCCCAAGCTGCTTATGCTGCCGCCTGCTTGGATAATGTCATCATCCACAACACGTGGGCGTTGAATGTGCACAGCAGTTGTGCCCTAAGGTAGACAAGACTGCGGGAATCGCATCCTGCCAGGGGCCCGATAGAAGAAAAAAAAAGGTGAGGCGGTAAAAGTGAAACAGACTCTCTGCAGGGAACATCTCCTCCGCACCCCTTATTTCTCTCTGCCCTATACTCTGCAGACTGACGCATCAGGACTCCGGGCCATTTTGTCCCAGGAGGTGCAGGGAGTGGATCTTGCTTGGACCTTTCCCCATTTTGTACAGTGACAAACAAGAACACAAATGCATTTCACTTTGAAGGTGCAAATACCTTTGATAATAAAAACAAAAGAGTTGACATCTGTATTCACCCCCTCACTCAACACTTTGTTGAACCCCCTTTCACTGCAATGGTATTACCCTTTGTTTGGCTCCATCCACCTTTCCCTGAATTGTGACCTGCTGAAGAAACGCATAGTCACAGCATGATGCTACCACCACCATATTTCACAGTTGGGATAGTGTGCTCAGGGTGATGGGCAGTGTTTGGTTTCCACTACACAAGCATTTTGCATTGGGGTCAAAAGGTTCCATTTTGGTCTCATCGGACCAGAGCACCTGCTTCCACAAGTTTGCCGTGTCTCCCACATGACTTGTGGCAAACTCCAAACGTGATTTCATGTGGTTCACTTTCAACAACGACTTTCCTGTTACTTTTTTGTCGGATCGTTGTCCAATAACTTTGGAATGTCTACTAGTGTAGAAGTGCACGCCTAGCGTTGGAAATTGTATGATAAATACTAGTGTTAAAAATTCAGTTTGTGTGTTATCATATGTTAGTTATATTAGTATGTTAATAGCTGCAATATGAACTTAAACACAATCTATACAAGTAATTTAATTACTGTCCACAAGACATTCAGCCACAATGTTAAAGCCTAGGGGAAGGTCGCTTAAACCTTCCTTGATGGATTTATTCCATATTTTCTCCCCAATGAAGGTTTTTTTTCTCCTGTCAGGCCGTTCAGGAGAAAAAGATGTAGGACTGCCCTGCGAGGCAATGGTTTTGATTTTGGACCATATAAAATGTGTCACGACCGGACCATGGCCCTGAACCGAAACGCACAACTCGTAGACAAAGTTCCAAAAGAAATCAAAGTTTATTAACAAATGGGAAAGCGCCACTGAAATAAAAATCACTCGTGGTTGAGGAAAACACTATGTACGAAACCTAAGAACACAAACATGATAAAATTATCGATGCACACATACACTGATTCCTTGACGTGAGACAAGACGAACTGGCACAGGACAAAGGGAGACGCAGACAATATATAGCCACAGGGTAGGGGCACAGGTGGAAACAATCAGGGGCAGGGCAGACAATCAGACCAGCACATGGGGGGAAGGGGCAAGTTGCCTGAAACGAGAGGGAGGTTCATTTTCAAAATAAAACAGGAAATCACGGGACACAAGACAACATAAATAACACTGTTTCCTGGACATGACAACATTAATTGAACATAATTGTTTAAATGATTACAAATGTGATGATTTAAGATGTGTTATGATTATTGATTATTATGAGTGTATTAGCTACTAGATGATGATGATGATATTATGCACGTTATATTATGTCCACATGAAAAAGCTTTAGGTCCAAGGTGTAATCATTGAATGCATTGTAATATTAAGTGAATAGGGATTGGTCACATCAATGAGGGATTTCAGAATCGGCCATCAGATGAAGCCAGGGGGGAGAGTCTTAAAATGCATAGAGGCAGAAAGGAATTTCAAAAAGACGTAGGGGACGCATTTGAATGTACAGCCAATCACATACGGCTGCAACACAAAGGACACACCCGCGAGATTCGAAAAGCTTGTGGTGAGAAGAGGACATACAGACGCCTCCTGAGAACCATTATTGATAGTCTTGGACTGGTCTAGGGGGCTTCTCTATTTCGCAAAATATTATACTATTCATACCATATTTCACTTTGTAATTGTATTTCTTCTGTTAGTTATAAAATCTCTTTTCATTTTTAAATTCAAGCCAGGGGATGAGAGGTAGAGAGGGTGCCCTGGGAACCGCAAGGTTGATGGTTTTAGTCCCTTAACAAGACACCTAACCCCTACTTGCTCAATTGCTGTAATGTAATGTGAGTCGCTTTGGATGTATTAATGTCATAGAAAAATATAAAAACAATATTAGTTTCATGCTTCACCCAGTCCTCAGATGTACAGTGCATCCGGAAAGTATTCACAGCGCTTCACTTTTTCCACCATTTGTTATGTTACAGCCTTATTCCAAAATGGATTAAAATCATTATTTTCCTCATAATTCTACACACAACAACCCATAATGACAAAGTGAAAACCGTTTTTTGCAAATGTTTGCAAATCTGTTAAAAATAAAGAACGAAAACATAACATGTACATAAGTATTCACAGCCTTTACCATGACACTCAAAATTTAGCTCAGGTGCTTCCTGTTTCCACTGATCATCCTTGACATGTTTCTACAACTTGATTGGAGTCCACCTGTGCTAAATTCAGTTGATTGGACATGATTCAGAAAGGCACACACCTGTCTATGTAAGGTATCACAGTTGATATGCATATCAGAGCATAAACCAAGCCATGA